GGTCCCGTTGCAATCCCATTGCCGGTCCCCAGTCCAGTGCGAGGGCAGCACTGAGGGTTGCGATCCATTGCCGGACACGGAAAAAAGACAAAAGACAAAAAAAAAAAAAAAAGTGTGACCATCCCCAGCAAAGCCTCCTGTGCTGTCACATTACGAAGCAATTTTTAATAGAAACAAAAGCAGGCGGAAGCGGAGATAACTGGGATAGCTAGCTAGACAGCTTCCCTCGCTCGTTCTTCCTTGTTGTTTAGACTACACAGCTCTGGTTATGCTGTGGTGTGAGTCTTGTCCCTGAGAAGATAAGCACGTGTAACAAAAGCAGAACGTGGTGGAGTTCTTGGTCTTGTCCCAGCCTTACGTAATGTCCCATTTAGAACATATATCACATCGGGTAAAGTGATGAACCTCACTGAAATAACATTAAATGTAGTTCTATGCTCCAAGCAATATCGTGGCTATGTCACAGAAGGCATTTGGTTTGAAATGAAGGCCATTTCTTCAACCTTTAACCCATCCTTTTCATGATAAAAACAGGTGATCAAGAGAAGTTCTGATTCTCAGGAGAGAGATGGAGTCAAGCCATGTTCCAAAGAAGGTAATACTGACTGGGAGGCATATCCTTTCATTATTCGTCGGTGAAGAGTCTGGCAAAATTTGTTTTGGCCCAATGGATGGAATAAAGCTTTAAAATTTGTTGCACTATTTTGGTGTACAGTACGTCTTGACCTTAGGAAGGGTGGATATGAGATATGTGAAAGGAAGAGGAGAAAGGAAAGTTGGGGAGAGCTACAGGGATCTGGGAGTTAGCAGGTCTGGAACAATTTGGGATTCTGACTGGAGAAACGAGTGAAAGCATGCCAGATGGTACTAGGTCCAAATGCAGAGCCTGGGAAAAGTTCTTTCAGGGACCAAAGTTGGAAATGATGAGTTCTAGATAAAGCTTGGCCTAGAGGTCCAGAGTAAACATGAAATGATAGGGCCAGCTGGGCGTCAGGCCAGGAAATCAAATTTGGATAGAAACACGAAGCTGGGCCTCAAGGTCTGTTTGTACAAATGTACTCCTGATTATGGGGCGCCTCTTTTCTTGTGGCTACCTCTGTCTATCTTGAAATGGACAAACTCATCAGTTGGCTTCGGAGACAGTATTAGACACTAGATAACTGCGCTTTCTTCCAGCATCACTGAAATGGGGTTCTTCTAGGGCTGCTTTGGAAACTGAAGGTCACAAGTGTTTCCCTGAAGAATCCCAGGGGCTCTCTGACAATGGCTGGCTTGTGCCAACTCATTTCCCCACCAGTGCTACTTTTGTGATGCAGGAGTACTTTCTGGGGGCCCAGGTCTCTTGAGGCCTGCCTTGTTCCTGCTTCTAGCCACCAGGCTCAGTAAGGCACAGTCTGAGGTCCCAGAGGGTGCTCCAAAGGCTCCTGGGGGGACACAAAGTACCGCAGAACCACATTTGGACAAAGTAGGGACACCTCCGGGCATTTATCTCACCACTCACCTCATCCCCACTGTACTGCTTTAAACAATGAAGAAGGCGGCAGGTGTTGGATAACCAGAATGATGTCATCTCAAAGTCATCATTGTGCTTCTGTGAAAAGAAAAGGACACCCCCAGCCATGAGTAAGTGGCTCCCTTCTGGTAGATGCTGATCTGGTACCTCTCTTTCCATATTTCCCACTCTTACCCAGCATTCCCAAGCAGCCCCAATGACAGGCAGGGCACAGAGGTGAGACCCCTGCTGAGAGGGCACGTACTATCCTCCACTACCAGGGATGTAGAACACACGCCAAGAACAGGCTGCCTTCCACGGTGGAAGAACACCAAGCCAAGTGACACAGGCAAGGCTTGTCCCGGCAGCCCCGGGCTCTAGCCTCACACTTGGGCTAGCTGGCCCTGTTTCCAAACTACCAGTTACCCAACATGAGGGGTGCTAGGGAGTGTGACAATAAAATATCCTGATGTCCTGTTTGTCTAGAGGTCAGATGTCCAATGGTTTCAACTCTCCCTAACGAAGTGAAAAGGGCTGTTCGACAGCCAGCGTAGCACTGACTCGGTTGCCGCGCTGAGCCCGCGGCTTCGTCAGGCAAGCATCATCATTGCTTAGATGTCAGAGAGTAGTAAGTGCTATGACAATGAGACAAGGAGGCTGACTAGAAAGCGGCTGGGGGTGCTGGGGCATACTAATTTAGCTCAGGATTAGGGAAGGCTTCTCTAAGGAGGTGAAATTGTAGTCAGCCCCTGACTGACTTAAACTGGCCCAAAACTCCAGCTGGAGCTCATAAAGGCTGGACGTAAAGGCTGGGACACAAATGTGAGTCAGCAACACACAGCTGATACATGTTTAGAGACATGAGTGGATAAAATCACCTGTGGAGCCCACGGTAGGGAAGACAATGCCACTACTGATGGTGCACAGCCAGAAGTTAAAGACTGGCTCTGGCATTCTCAGAGCAAGGACCAGTGGCTCAGCAGACCCCAGGACTGGTCTGGATTCCATGCTTTTGGCTTGCATCTTGGAAGTGACAGTGTGTGTGATGACTGAAGACAGTCTCTAAGAGCAACAGCACTTGGGGCCCAGCCTGCTAGCAGGTAGATATCCCTCTCCCTGAGAGCCAGTTTCTCTCAAAAATCTCACCTCCCACTGCCTGGCCCTAGCGCCCACATAGACAGGGCTCACCTCCCTGCAGGCTAGCCTCTCGCTGCAGCATTGCCATTATGCTCATGAAGAACCTTGTGCCTTCAGGTGGCATTCCCGAGCCGCTTCAACACCCTGTGAGTGGCCCCCTCCTGTCCCCTGCAGGCTGCCTCATCTGGGAAGTGGGCGAACGTCAGCAGCCCTCTCTGGCAGCAAGCACTAGCCTCTTGGAAAGGTTGGAGAGGGCTGGTATTCCAGTTGTGTCCCTGAACTTGCTCCAGTGCGCAGCCCGCCCGCCCTCGGCCACAGCCGTCCATCTCCCTAGCCTCTCTGGCAGCGGGCAGGCCAAGGCTTCTGTAAGTAGTGGGAGGCCCTGGAGGCTCAGCAGGGAGGTGCCTGGAGAGCCATGCTGGATCTCTGGGCTTCCTGCTATTTCTAAGCCTGAGCATCCTTCTCGGGGAACTGCTGGGCACCCTGATACATGCATGCTTCTGCACCTCTCTTAGCTTCAGAGTTGGAGGCTTGGGAGAACTCGCTGCTGCAAACCCAGACACAGAGAAGTAGACGTGAGTCCACTGCAAACCTTAGCCTTCTGCAGGAGTCGCTCACCTTCAGGACTTTCTTGATGCCGTTGATGGTGGAGGTGAGCAAGGAGTGCACCTTGAGGTCGTCGTTGGTGTAGTCTGCATGCCTGATGCACATGTAGAGAATGTAGGCGGGGAGACAGGGCACCGTCCCGGACAGCATCTGGGGCTTCAGGTCTAAGGGCAATGACAGCAGCAACAGCGAGAGTCAGATATAGCGCACCCTGGGGGCTGTCAGAATCCTCGTGGGAAGTAAAAATGGTTTCAGTATTTCCCTGCAGCTTATCTAGAAATAGATCTCCCATGGGGGTTGGGAGAGAAGCAGAGAGAAGCTGCCTGGGATATGCAAACTCCTCTGACCCAGACTACCAGTTGATTCAGACACAGTTGTTAAAAAGCAAACGCAACCATGTAGCACTACAGCCTTGACACAGGCTCCTTCCTGATGCTTCACTCCTTACAACACGGAAAAGAGCTCACGAGCTCACAAGTTACGCAAAGACCACAGTTCTCAGCTAAGAGGGCTCCAATCCAGGGCGAGATTAGTGGGGTGAGAACTCCTGATTCCTGGCACCCCCACTTCCTACTGTGGGCACAGAGCCAGACTGCAAGGGCACAGTGCCAGACTGCAAGGCTGGCCCCATGTGAACTGGGCAAACTGCACGTTCCTAACAACACAGCCAATCTGCTAAGGGCTGGGAAGGCTGGAGCAACCTCAGACCCATTTGGCGGTCTCTTTGAGAACACATTACCTGGCAGCACTTGTCCAGATGCCACAGCCAAATAGATCAAGCCGGCCCGTGGCTGACCACAGCCACTCTCCCCTCTCCCCAGTGCCACCACTGGCAGCAGCCTCTCACTCCCCTCCACTGCTCTCTTCTGTGTCCCACAATTCCCGCTGGCCCTTCCCTGCTAAAGCCCCTGGAGGGCCAGGGAGAATCTGCCAGACTGCTTTCTGTGCCAGAGTGTGCCAGGGGAGCAATGAACCAGGCTTTAAGCACTGAGTTGTGGAAGTCCACAAAGCAGGAAGAAAGGCCTGGCATAAAAACAAGATGACAGGTGAGAACAGATGGCGGACTCAGGCCCCAGGGCTCTCACTGTGGCCCAGGGTGCATCCCAGCACGTGACCTTCACTCTCAATATCCCCATGCAGACTACACACAGTCTGTCCTGCCTCGGAAAGTTCTATTGTGATTGAACAAGGCTTGCTTGGGCTCCCCAGCTAAATGTTAGCATCTTGTTAGCAACCAAGCAGTGGGTGGTAGGGGGTCAGGGAACCAAGACTCTACTTTTCTCTCTCCACCATGCCAACTAGCTAGTGTTGGGCACCTAAGAGGTAGTCAATCAGTCTTGGCATTCATTTGGATGGGGTCTTTGGAGAGAAGATGACTGGGTGCTTTTTCTAGGCAGCTCAGCAGGAGCTGACCTGCCTGAGGCCACCTGAGCAGTGACAGCAAGAAGAAGCCACCTTGTCTGGCATAAGCAGTCTTAATATATTAAGCAGTCTTACTTATTTAACTGTGATGCTGAGAACTTTGAGTTTCACTCACCAGAGATTAAAGTTTTGTTCCTAACTGTTTGACAAGATGCAGCCTATTTAAGAAAGTTTAAGATGAACTTACATGATGTTTAACTGTTGAACAATTGTGGAGGAAAATAACCTTTGTAAGAGAGCAAAATCCTCAGTAATAAGGAGGCTACTGAAAACACCCAACCGAACAGCTGAGGCAAAATGTTTTAAGCAGAAGTCATGCTCCATTCTCCCTGTATCCCTCAGGCCTCGGCACAGTGCTCAGAAGAGTGGGACCTCAATAGCCTTATATAAATGTCACTAAAACAATGTTTACCTCTTATCTGAGCTTCAAATACCTTTGCAAAAGCTACTACACTTCTTTGAATTCCTCACGTCTAAGAGGAGTTTTGCAGCTTTAACGCAGCACTTGCACCTGCACCTCTGTCATACTTCACGTGCTGGGGCAGGCAGGGTTGGTATCCCCATTTTACAGGTGGGAACACTAAGGCACCACAGAGAAGAGAGCTAGTGGCTCAGGGCCCAGAGGATCAGACTACCACAGAGTCCTCCTTTTTTCATGCAGGTCTCTCTCCTCTAAGACTCTTCTGGCTCTGCAGGGGGCTGCTGGAATGGCACAGAGCCAGACTGGGCCTGAGACCAGAGGGGAGGGAGCCAGTACAAGTGGCAAAGCAGTCTCTGGGCTGGTGAGGAAGCAGCTCCCAAGATCC